TGTCACTCGGTCTTTCTCCCCAAGGGTTGATGCTCTCCGCTATGATCCTCTTTTTATTCAGCCATAGTAGACGATCATACCATCTAATATAGGATTAACCCCAATCTGTATGCTTAAGACTTCCAAATCTTATCTCCGGCCCTAGCTTGATTTTTTATTTTTTGAAACAGAGTCTCGCTCTTTTGCTCAGACTGCTGTGCAATGGTACAATCATGGCTCACTGCAGCCTCAATCTCCTGGGCTCAAGTGATCCTCCCACCTCAGCCTCCCACAAAGCTGGGACTACAGGCATGTGCACCACACCCAGCTAATTATTTATTCTTTTGTAGAGATGGGATCTCGCTATGTTTCCCAGGCTGGTCTCGAACTCCTGGTCTCAAGTGATCCCCCCTCCTCAGCCTCCCAAAGTGCCGGAATTACAGGCATGAGCCACTGTGAGGCTTGATTTTTGAACTCTAGATTCATGCATGAAAGGGTTTTTCCGAAATATCTACTTAAATGCACCACAGGCCACTCAAATTCAACACACCTATAATCAAACTCATCATCTTTCTTTCTCTTACCCTCAGTCAACACTGTTCCACCTGCTTTATTCCCAGCTGAGCTAGTGCCTCCCACTCCCACCCACAAACACTAGAAATTTGCAGGGCATCCTAGAAGCCGCTGCATTAGTCACTGTGTGCTGTTCAGGGCACTTCTTACATTCACCTCTTCCACTCCATCACTAATACTACTGCCTACTAGTAGTATCATCATCATGTCTCACATGAATAATTGCAATACCTTTCTAATGGGTTACACTAATTCCTCCTAAATTCATGGCCCACACTGACACTGGACAGATATACAGAAAACAAAAACCCAAACACCTTTTCGCTGCCTAAAATTGGTTTCCACATTCTATCCAATCTAAAATGTCAAGTGCCATCTACCTAAAATGATTATCTTTCTCTCTAAATTCATTCCAACCATTCCTCTGTTCTCACCTTACACACTACCAATAAACGGGTTCTTGCATCCCTTCCTAAATGCTAGATGTTTTTCATGCTTATGTGTCTTTGTTCTTACTAGCCACTCTACCTATTTTTCCCACCTCTCTCATTGGTCAATTCTCATTAATTTTTAAAGACATAGCACCTTATTTTCTCCAGGACTCCTGAGCCTCAAAGGCAGTTTCTTTTTTCTTTTTTCTTTTTTTTTTTTTTTTTTTTTTTTTTGAGACGGAGTGTCGCTCTGTTGCCCAGGCTGGAGCAGTGGCGCGATCTCAGCTCACTGCAAGCTCCGCCTCCCGGGTTCACGCCATTCTTCTGCCTCAGCCTTCCGAGTAGCTGGGACTACAGGCGCCCGCCACCTCGCCTGGCTAATTTTTTTGTATTTTTAGTAGAGACGGGGTTTCACCGTGTTAGCCAGGATGGTCTCGATCTCCTGATCTCGTGATCACCTGCCTCGGCCTCCCAAAGTGCTAGGATTACAGGCATGAGCCACCGTGCCTGGCCCCCTTCTGCTAAAGAAGGAACTGGTGTGGAGGCCCTGTTATACCAAAAATATCTCGAAAACAAGACTGTATATCTCTTTACATTCCCAGTAACTAGCACCATGCTTACAGCACATAGGGGATGCTCAATAGATGTTTATTGAACTGAACTAAAAAATATTTTTTTGAAAAAACATTGAATTGACTTTGCCAAATCTGATATTAAGAACCAATACTAACCAATGGGCATTATATTTCTTTTCTCAGAATTCAAAACCTGTTTAAATAAGCAGTTCTAGAATTTTTCTAAAGATTAAGCCTACCAGTCTGTTTCTAGAACCTGTTTTCTATCCTGAGGCAACTGGAAAAATATTTTTCTATCTTCCATCTGTTGGTATCCATTCTGTTCTGTATGGTTTCTCAGTTTACCAACATTGTTTCTGTTACCTCACCTGCAAAACTTGGCATTAAATGTCTCTGAATATGAACACTGAACTCATTTTAAATGATAATCTTATCTCTCTGAGAGCTTAATTTCTGACATCGTATTTATTTTTCCTATTCTCATGTAAAGGACATTCTCTCTTAAAGGAGATTAAAACTCATCTATGGCTGTGGAATCCATTTAACATAAATATGGTGTGGTCAAAGCATCATACTCTCCTAATTGCCCATCCTTTAGAATCACTGCTAGCATCTCAGTTTCTCAGACAGAGCTAAGGTAAAGAGTACTTGGAAACTCTTCTGTGCTACATGGAGGAGCTATTTTCTCTATTCTGACAGATCTCCTGATACTCAATACCTAGAGCATCTAGAAATAATTTCATGACATTTTTTCCAAGTGTCACTATCCTCCTCTTATGTCTTATATCTTAGTGTATTCAGAGGCTTGAGTTCTGACATTTTTTTCTCTGAACAACAGTATAACTGATGCAAATGTTTTTTTACTTTTCTCACTTCTTGCCCTTCCCCAATGCCACACAATATAATTCCTCTGCTAAAAATGCAGGTAACTTTGTCCAGACTTTTTTTTCAAAAAACTTTTTAATAAGTTCAAAATATATCAGAAGAGAGTTAAAACTGTCCATTTGACGAATTTTTGAGACTTTGTCAATATGCTAGCCACTGCATCACTAAAAATACAAGGGCATATAGAATATGGTCCCTGACCTTGAGAACAGTTCATAAGGCTCTGATAAAAACACAGGACAGCATGTTAGAATGTATTTAACATTTTTGCACTTTAAAGAGATGCTAAATCAAGAGAGGGGGCTCGAAGGAGACCATTTGGGAGGTATGCGTGCCACCTGCAATGTGGAGAACCCAGTGAACTGGGATCTGGCTCTGCCTGGAAAATCTCAATGTGGGAGATAAACTGGTTGGCTGCTTTGGTGGATGAACAAAAGAGAGGGACTGCATTGGGGTTAAGCAGTATTCCTAGAGTTTATCAAGGCAGAGGATGCAGGAAGGTTGGCATGGACCATATGTTAGCCATGCATACAAGAGTGAGCCGGAATGAACTTGTCTTAGGTCGCGTCCAAAGGTGCCATCTAGAGGCTGAACAGAGGTACTGCCAAATGCTAAATAGGTTGAGGAATGATTAAGTCACCAGCCAGAATATAGCTGTTTCATCCTGATCAAGAGAACTGCAGATAAGAGATACCCAACTGTGGGAGTGAGAGATCGCCAAAGAACCTGCAAAAGTGTCCATGATAAACAGAATCAGCTTTTCTTCCATCTTCTGAGACCAAAGAGTACTGACATCCATGAAAGTGTTCAAGAAATAACTTTTCTGCTACTCCTGCCGCTCCGCCTTCTGTCCTGTCCCAACCGTGGAGGCATCAGAAACACCCGTTAGCAATAATGAGGAGAAAGTTATTGGTAAGAGAAGAAAGAAGGGGATATGCACATTACCCTGACCTGATCACTATGCCATAAATATATCAAAACACCACTATGTACCCCATAAATATGTACAATTACTACATGTTCATTAAAAAGAAAAGAAAGAATGACTCCACCACCCTTTTCTGAGTGCAGGCCATCTGCCTGCTGTATGCCTGAGGTGAGCAAATTGCAAGTGTGTTCCATTACTACAGTTATAGAACTATTTGAAATGTTAGGGAAGCACAGAGTGAAGAATGATTATTTCTTGAGGAAATAAATATGGCTTCCCAGAGAAGGCAACTCTTTATCAAAGCCTTAAAAAAATGAGTAGGCATTTGCCAAATTGGCACATTCCAGCTCAGAGAACATCACCAACAAAGATGGAGGCTCATAAATGCATGCTGTGTTCAGTGTATTGGGAGCTCTTTGGCATAACCAGGACACAAGCCACAGAGTGGGGTACGGCACCAGATGATTCCAGAAAAAATGGACTCAAATCAGATTGGGAGAGGTCTTGTATGCCATGGGAAAACTTTCAGCAGTTTTACTACTACTACTCCCTCAGCAGTTAAGAGATCTACTAAAATACACCTTGAAGCAAATATTTACTAAATCTGATTTCTAGCCTCCAAAATTTGAATTTAAATTCAGATATGCTCCTGATGCATTGCAATATGTTTGCAAAGGTGTCATCTCCATAACTAATTTTCCATTCGACAAGCTCAAGGGGTCGTCCCTCCATGATGAATCTGCTTCCTAATATTTACATTTTTTGCCTCCAGATGTCACAACCAACAAAAGCATTCATCTCAAAACCTTTTTCATGACAGTACATATAGTAGGTACTGTTACAGCTAAGTCTTGTATATGCTTTAAATAATCACCTAAGTTCATAGCTACTTTTTAGAACAGAGCAAATGGGGTATGGATAGGTGTATTTGCTTGGCCAAAGCAACATTCGCATTGTCAACCTCTTCCTCCTTTTACAAGATGTACAATTCCCTTCTACCCACCGCTGAAGCCTGGTGTCTGTGCTGGTTGGTCTGCTTCAGCCTTCTTTTTCTATGAAGCCACTTCTTGGCCTCTTGGGGAAGTGCTTCTGGCATCTCAGCTAACAGGATCTCTCCTCCCCTTCATTCACTGCCCCAGGATTTCCATCTGTCCCTGTAATCAGCAAATGCCCTAAGAAAAGCCATAGCCATCGTGATCAAACTCAAAATTCTGGCTCAACTGTCCTTCCACAAGAAGAGCAATTTTCTCCCTGCCAAAAAAGCCTCTCTAACTTCTCCACCATCTTTTCCCAAACAATAGCACACTTGCCAGAGTTACAGCTGATTGGCCAATTTTCCCTAGTAGGAAAATCTCTTCTATGTAATGGAAAGTTCTTAGAAAAATGAATAGCATCCCAACTGACTTCATCTCATGGCATTTCCTGGAGTCAAAGTCATGGCATGTGACTCTGATGTGGTTTTTTGTGTGTTTTTGTTTTTGTTCTCCCTGAGCTATATAAAAAAACAAGACCTATGGGATCCGTCATGTCTGACAATTATGACAAATGCCGAGGCTCACACAGGGCCAAAGGAGACAGTACACCAGGCAAGCTGAAGCGTTCTTAGTTTACCTTTTTTTGCCTCTCTAGAACCTGTCCTGCACTTTGGGGATGCTGAATATCACGTCAATGAAAGTGCTGGCTATGTGGAGGTTTGTGTTTGGAGAAGAGGCACTGATCTTTCCCAACCATCATCCATCATCGTGCGCTCCAGAAAGTCAGAGCAGGAGTCAGCAGAAGGTGAGAGGGCCACACAAAGAACATATCATTATCAGGATACATGTTTATGGTGGGATCTAGTCTGTTAAGTGTAAGCACGCTTAGTCTTTGTTGATGGACTCTGAATGAAAGTTTCTCTGGTTTCAGCACGTAGGTGGTTTGTATATGTAATGACTTCTGCTAGTTATGAAATAAATACGTTATTCAAACAGCAGCCTTTATGATTCATTTATTACCCACTTGCTTGTCATGGGCTTAAATTAATTTTTCCAAAGTTCAGAATATTTATAGATACTTAAGCTGCTCATAAACAATATTTCAGATGAAATTACCCCCATAATGGCCAAGCAAGTCCAAGCTCCTGGAAGAATCCCATCACATATTAGACCTTTGAAGGGTAGGAGGTTTCCACTTCAGACTCAGGCATTTGCCTTAGCTTCAAACAGCATGTGTTCATGCCCTGCTCACCTTTGCATTTCCTGACATGGATGACCAAGGCCTAGCTGACAGCATGGCACAATTCTAGATACCATTTCCTGTAGAGTACCTGTCAGGTGCTTTATCAGAAAAAGAACAGGACCCAACAGGAAAAGAAAAGGACACTTCTATGTACATTGATGCCCACATTTTCTCATTTCCAGTTGTGACCTTTTGGTGTGGTGTTAGGTTGTTACTTTTACACCTTTCTAACTTTTTGATGTGAGCATTTAGCACTATAAACTTTCTTCTTACTACTGCTTTAGCTGTGTCCCAGAAGTTCTGTTATGTTGTATCTTTGTTCTCATTGGTTTCAAAAAATTTCTTGATTTCTGCCTTAATTACATTGTTTACCAAGAAGTCATTCAGTAGCAGGCTGTTTAATTTCCATGTAATTGTATGGTTTTGAGTGATGTTCATGGTATTGGTTTCTATTTTTATTGTTATATAGTCTGAGAATGTGGTTGGTATACTTCTGAATTTTTTGAATTTGCTAATAATTTTTATGGCCAATGGTGTAGTCGATTTTAGAGTATGTGCTATGTGCAGAAGAGAAGAATGTATATTCTGTTAGTTCCGGGTGCAGAGTTCCATAAATGTCTATTAGGTCCATTTGGTCAAGTGTCAAATTCAGGTCCCAAATACCTTTGTTACTTTTCTGCCTTGATGGTCTGTCTAATGCTGTCAATAGGGTGTTGAAGTCTCCCTCTATTATTGTATGGTTCCAATATTATTGTATGGTTATAGTCTCTTCATAGATCTTTAAGGACTTGTTTTATGAATCAGGATACTCCTCTGTTGGGCACATAAATATTATTCAGGATAGTTAAGTCTTCTTGTTGAATTAAACCCTTTACCATTATATAATGCCTGTCTTTGTCTTTTTTTTTTTTAATCACTGTTGGCTTAAAGTCTGTTTTGTCTGAAATTAGAATAGCAACCCCTGCTTTTTTTGTTTTCTGTTTGTTTGGTAGATTTTTCTCCATCCTTTTATTTTGAACCTATGACTGTCATTGCATGTGAGATGGGTCTTTTGAAGACAGCATATGGTTGGATCTTTCTTCTTTATCTAACTTGCAACTCTATGGCCTTTTAATTGGGTCATTTAGCCTGTTTACATTCAAGGTTAATATTGATATGTGAGGATTTAATGCTGTCATCTTGTTGTTAGCTGGTTTATTATGCAGACTCAGTTGTGTAGTTGCTTTATAGTATCAATGGTCTACGTACTTAAGTATGTTTTTGTGGTGGCCATAACGGTCTTATGTTTCCATATTTAGTGCTCCTTTAAAACCTCCTGTAAGGCAGGTCTGATGGTAATGAATTCCCTTAATATTTTCTTGTCTGTAAAGATCTTATTTCTCCTTTTTTGATGAAGCTGGATATAAAATTCTTGGCTGAGTTTCTTTTTTTTTTAATAATGCTGAATATAGGCCCCCAATCTCTTCTGGCCTGTAGAGTTTCTGCTGAAAGGTCTGCCATTAGCCTGATGAGGTTCTCTTTGCTGCCTTTCTCTTCTCTTTAGCTGCCTTTAATATTTTTGTCTTTCATGTCAACCTTGGAAAATCTGATGACTATGTGTCTTGGGGATAGTTGTCTTATACAGTATCTTGCAGGGTTCTCTGCATTTCCTGAATTTGAATATTGGCCTCTCTAGTGAAGTTGGGGAAATTTGCATGGACAATATCTTCAAATATATTTTCCAAGTTGTTTGGTTTCTCTTCCTCTCTTTTAGGGATGCCAATGAGTCATAGATTTTGTCTCTTTACATAATCCCATATTTCTAAGAAGTTTTGCACATTCTTTTTTATTCTTTTCTCTTTTTGATTGTGTTCATTCAGAGAACCTTTTTGCTATGAGGTTCCTTCCTCAGCTTGGTCAATTCTGTTGATAATACTTGCAATTGGCCCAGCACAGTAGCTCTCATCTCTAATCCTAGCACTTTTGGAGGCCTAGGCAGGGGGATTGCTTGAGCCCAGGAGTTCAAGACCAACCTGGGCAACATGGCAAAACCCCATCTCTTCAAAAAATACAAAAAAATTAGCCAGGCATGGCGGCATGCACCTGTAGTCCAAGCTACTTGGAAGGCTGAAGTGGGAAGATCACCTGAGCCCCTGAGCCCAGGAAGTTGAGGCTGTGGTGAGCCATACATTCCAGTCCGGGTAACAGAGTTCGACCCTGTCTCAAAAAAAAAAAAAAAATTAAATTAATTAATTTAAAAATAATAAATATTTTCAATTGTATTATGAAATTCTTGTAGTGTATTTTCAGCTTTATCAAATTTGTTGGTTCTTTCTTCATTTCATCTTTCAGTTATTACATCATTTTATTGTTATCCCTAGATTCCTTGGATTGGTTTTGATTTTCACCTGAATGTCAATTATCGTTATTCCTAACCATATTCTGAATTCTATATCTGTCATTTCAGTCATTTCAGCCTGGTTAAGAACCATTGCCAGGGAACTAGTGCAGTCATTTGGAGGAAGGAAGACCCTATGGCTTTTTGAGTTGCCAGAGTTATTATGCTGGTTCTTTCTCATCTGTGTGAGCTTATATTCCTTTAACTGTGATGTAATTTTAGTATAGTCAGTTGACTTTGTTTCTGGATGTTTTCAGAGGGCCAAGGCTTTGTTCAGGGTCTTCATTTGTAGCTGAATTCTTGTCCTTGGTTTCACAGGGTGTTATATGCACAGTATTGTTGGTTTTGAAATTTGGGCTGTGATCTAGAAGATGGTGTGTAAGTGTAATGGCTGGTAGGCAGGCTGTCAGCCAAATGGCTCCTTTGTGCATTTGCAGCCATGTTCCCTCTCAGCACTCTAACAGTGTGGGCTCCTCTCTTACTTGAGTGCTGGCTGCAGATCCTGACTTTGCATTCCTAAGCTATATACCACAGCCCTGAGGCAAGCTCAGGTTTTACATGTCCTCTCCTGCTTGGGGGCGATGAGGACAGGGACCTTTAGCCGTGGTAATGGCGGAGGGTTTTCCACTTGTCTCTTGGAGCTCCACCCCAGAGAAACACAGAGCTACTACAATCAGAGTGACTGCATTCTGAGCCCAAGCTTGGGGGACTGGGGAGGGCCTGCCTGGTGATGAGCAGGGGATGCAGGAGGCTCACAGGGAGGACAGACTGGCCTCTTCTCCTTAGGGCAGTTAAGAGCTGGAGGTGTGAGTAAAGCACTCAGAATCTTTGTTCCTTTTCTTGTCTGTCTGGGGGCAGCAAGGGCAGTACCACTACAGTGGCAGTAACAGAAGAACTTTCAGTTGCCTCTGGGAGCTCCACCCCAGAGAAATGCAGAGCCACTGCCAATGGAAATGTTCAGTCAGGAGGTAGTGCAGCTGTGCTGTGGGCTTGAGCCAGGAGACCTGTTTAGTGAAGAGCAGAAGGTCGGCGGCTCACAGGGAAAACAGACTTGGCTCCTCTCCATATGGCAACTGGAAAGGTAGAGGTGGGAGTAAAGCCCTCAGACTCTTTGTTCCTTCCCCAGTCTGAGGGCAGCACTGGCAGAACCACTGCAGTGGCAGTGGCAGAGGCAGAGGGGCTGTGAGTTGCCACTGGGAGCTCCAGCCCAGGAAGACACAGAGCCACTACCAGTGGGAATGCTCAGCCAGGGGCAGGGCAGCCGCTCAGCCAGTCCTGAGCTGAGGGCCCTGCCTGGTGAACAGTAGAGGCTCCCAGGAAAGAGAAACTGAGCTCCTCTCCGTATGGTGTTTGTGGCATGCTGGAGGTGCTGGTAACTTGACCAGCCCTTTGTTCCTTCCCCAGCCTGAGGGCAGTAAGGGCAGTACGACTGCAGCTGCAATGGCAGAGAGGTTTTGCATTGTCTTTGGGATTTCCTCCCCAGAGAAATGCAGAGCCACCAATGATTAAAGTGTTCAGGTGGGGACAAGGTGGCTGTGCTGGATTCCCAGGTCAAGAGGCCCTGCCCAGTGAGGAGTTACAGTGGCAGGGACTCACATGGAGAACAGCCTGGGCACTTTTCTGTAAGGCTGCTGCATTGGGCTGGAGGCCTGAGTTAGTCCTGAATCTCTTTGCTCCCTCCCAAGCCTGAGCTCAGCAGGAGTGGGGGTTGTGGAGCAGCAAAAATGGTGGCACTGCTACTTCTGGGAGCTCTGTCCCAAGGAAGTGCAGAGCTGCTACCAGCCAAGAGCCTAGGTGGGGCTGGGGTGGCCGGCGTCCCAGGTCGGGAGGCCCTGCCCAGTAAGAGGTAGCAGAGGCAGGACTCATGGGGGAAACAGTCTATTTCTCCATAAGGCAGCTGTGCTGTGCTGGGGGTTACATTAGTTCTCAATCTTTTTGCTCTCTCCAGAGCTTGAAGACTGCAGGGGCCAGAGCTGCAAACCGGCAAAACCAACAGGCCTGCCTGCTACCACTGGGATCTCCATCCCAAGGAAATACAGGGCTGCTACCAGCCTGTAAGCTCAAGTGGCCACACTGGGGTCCCAAGCCAGTGGGCTTTGTTTAGTGAGTTCAGTGGAGGCAAGGTGTATAGTCCATCTGCTCTTCAGCTCTGTGGATTCAGCCCCTATCCTGGGGGCATGTGAGGCAGCAGGAGCTTAGGGTTCCCAGGGGCCCTGGGACTCCATGCATGTCTGAGCCTTAGCTCTGCCCAGTCTGCGCACGGTTCCCTGTGTCTGTCTGCAGGCGCCAGTGGTGGGGGTGGTCATGGGGGATTTCCAGAGCCCAGGGTTGCAAAAGCTCATGGAAGAACTGTGGGTCCCAGGAAGCTCTCACTCACCATTTACCCACGGTGGGGATCCTCCCCTGGCTTCGCCCCAGTCCTAGGTGGCAGCTGTCCTGTCTCACTCTTCTCTGTTCTCTGTGGGTCATGTTGCTTCCTTGATGAGTCTCAACCTGTCCACCTGGATAATCCAGCTGCAGAGCTTGTGTGTTTATTCACCACTCTCTGTCCTCTCCATGAGAGCGGCACACACTAGCTGCTTCTAGTTAGCCATCTTGCCACTCCTCTCCCCTTTCTTTCATTCTTTTTTAAGTTTTCAGACAGGGTCATTTATCACTCTGTGTGTATCCATGAAAACAAGAGTGAAGAAACCAATTTGGTTAGGTGGACTTCTTTGCTTGTGGTTTGAAAGAGAAATTTAGATTCCTTTAGATAAACCTCTTTGCATAAAAGTAATGATGCCTCTGCTAGCTCTCTGGTAGGGATGAACTAATAGAAGTAATGTTCATGCTTGGGGTGGTGATTCATGGGTTTAACAAGTACAGTTGTAGAAGTAAGGTTTATACTTGATAATCTATTGAACCTAGAAAATATTTGATATCTGCTCAGGTTAGTTAACTATATTAATCTTATGTATATATGTATAAGATATACCTTGTTACATTAATAATTATAACTTCTGTGTTCTTAATGCGTACTATTTGCCAGATATTGTGTTAGCATCCTTGCTCTACTATCTATAATCTTCACAATAAACCTTATAAGGTAGCTATCATTATCCCCATTTTGCAGTTGAAGAAAAGAAACTGAGACTCAAAGAAGTTAAAGAATTAGTATAAGTAAGCAATAAACCAAGATTTGAGTCAAAGTCCATGAGTTACAAAACCTTATCCATTACTCTCCTGCCTTAGTAATTTTCACTATAACCTTGCTTTTGTTTTTGTTTCTGAGACAGGCTCTCGCTCTGTCACCCAGGCTGGAGTACAGTGACGTGATCTCAGTTTACTGAAACCTCTGCTTCCCAGGTTCAATTGATTCTTGAGCCTCAGCCTCCTAAGTAGCTGTAACTACAGGCACTCACCACCATGCCCTGCTAATTTTTGTACTTTTAGTAGAAATGGGTTTCACCATTTTGGCCAGGCTGGTCTGGAACTCCTGACCTCAAGTGATCTGCTCGCCTCGGCCTCCCAAAGTGCTGGGATTACAGGAATGATCCACCGGGCCCAGCTCTGTTTTGTTTTCTTAATGTCACTATTTGGTGCCTTTTAGAAAAATTTTTGGAGTAATCTCAAACTTACAGAAGAGTAACAAGTAGAATGAGATACTTTTCTTTTTCATCAACTATTGAGAGTAAGTTTGGAACCATGTCTCCAAAAACTTACAATGTAATTCCTTCAAAGACGTTCTCTTGTATAACCACAAAACAAGCATAAACTGAGAAATTAACTTGATACACTTCCATAATCTACTCAGACCTCATTCAAATTTCAACAGTTGTCCTCAAATCATTCTTTACAGCAAAAGAATCCAGTTCTAAATCACGCATTATATTTAGCTGTCATGTCTGCTTTTGTTTTCTTCAGTCTACAACAGTCCTCTCAACACCTTGATGTTTTTGAAGATTATAACCCAGTTATTATACTATATAGAATGTCTTCCAAATTTGGGTTTGTCTGATGGTTTTTCATCATTAGATTCAGGTAATGCATTTTCAGCAGGAATATCACAAAGATGATACTATCCTTTCATTATATTCTGTCAAATGGCACACAGTTTCCATTTGTCCCATTATGGTGGTGTTAACTTTGGTCACTTGGGGAAGGTAGTATCTGCCAGGGTTCCTCATTATATTCCCTTTTTTCCTTTGCAATTAATATTTTATGGAGGAGTACCTTGAGACAATATAAATATTCTGTTCCTCTATTTATTTTTATATTTATATCACTCAGGGGTTTCTATTTAATTCCATTGATTATCATATGTTACAATCATTACATTTAATGGCTTTCCAAATAAGTCTCAAAGAAGCTGTATGGTGAGGTGGACCAGCTTGAAAAAATGATTAATAACAACGCAGAGAATGGCAGAACTTCACGGCTTCATAACATTGAGCAGAATGTTGTGAGATTAAAACAGATGTCTGGCAAAAGCGAATGAGTGAAACCTAATCAAAATAAAATGTATCATATTTATCTTCAAGATTAAAAATTAAAAAGGCACATCCTTTCATTTCAAATTGAAGCTACCTTCAGAGATCCTTCCATCAATTGGCAGAATCTTGGTGGAAGTAGTTGGAAGGTGATGTGCCTGGTCTAGACGTGTAAAGCCCTGGTGAGGATGGCAGGTGGGCATGGCACAAGGGCCTACAAGGCATTTGGCAGAATATGGAAGTTCCCCCTACTGGGGATCAAACCCAAAATATATGATCCTGAGAGTGCTGGGTACAAAGGAGAATGCCGCAGAGTTGATGATGATCATTTTTCTCTGAAGGAAAACTTATGACAAATTCTGCTGTCTCACTAGTGCCTTTTCCTCTTCCACTAGCTGGAACAGATTATGTTGGCATCAGCCGAAATCTGGACTTTGCTCCAGGCGTGCGCATGCAGACATTCCGCGTGACCATCCTTGATGACCTGGGACAGCCCACCTTGGAAGGCCCAGAGAAGTTTGAGTTAGTTCTTCAGATGCCTATCGGTGCAGTGCTTGGAGAACCAAATAAAACTACTGTTTTCATCAAGGATACCATCACTGACTGTAAGCAGAGTGCTTGTAGTTCCTTTGATTGAAAGACTTTAAGAGGGAAAAAAAAGAGTCAAGATATGTCTCCTAACAACAGAATGAAACTCTACTGTTTATAGATCTTAGCAATTCTGGGATATCAGTGATATTGTACCATCATTGGTGTTATATTCTGGTGATATGTGGAAATGTAATTTATGTGACTGCATGGAAATAGAAATATATATACACAGAAAACATTGAGCCCACAAAGAATTAGACCGTATTCATGTTCTTTTTCTATTTTGTTTTACTTTGTTTCTGAGGCAAGCAAGAAATCCACTGTGATCAATTAAATCAAAAGTTAAAATCAAAAGATTAACCTCTCTTTACTGATTGATGCCGCATATGAAACACTTTTCAACTGTCTCTCCATATATAAAGTTCTTTTAGTGAATTCTTCAATTTTTCTTCACAACTCTTTATCAGAACTACTTGGTAGGAATATTTTTCAACTCTTTATTCCTTTGCACTCTTTTGCAAAAAAAAAAAAAAAAAGGATAATAAACAGTAAAGTGATGAAAATGTAAGTAGTAGAAAGGAGAAGAAAGAAGAGTTGAAGATTTGCGTAGCTCACAAACTGCCCAGTTAGTTCTTAACTAATGTTAAATTGACAATATATATAGATATGGCTAATACCACATAAACCAAAGTTCCCAAATTATTTTGAAACCACATCTTTGTGCCCCATCATTACTTTTTAGGTATTTCTTGTGCAAGTCTTTTTTTAAATTTTGTGTTTCAGACATTAACTTATTCTCAAGCCAACATAGTGTATGATAGAAACCATTCCCAGATGCATGTTTTCCAAATGTTGGATGGGGATGACAAGGCTCTTGACTGTAATATAGTCTGCATATATAGGCCAAGAAGCCCTTGTCTACTGTTAGCCCAGGTTTTGCTTCTTTGCTAGACTTTCATTTTCCCAATCAGAGAAAATATTTTTCTAAACTACCTTATAACTCTTGACCTCACTTCTCGCTCTGTAAAATGAGAAATTTGGACTCGATTTCTGTTAAGATCTCTTCCAGTTCTGTCTGATTCCTGTCTGAGTGCATATCCACCAACAGAAAATCACCCTCCCTCACCTTGCAATTTGCCCAACTCCCAGAGTCAAAAATCTTTTAAACTCAAATTCAACAAATAGTTATTGGGCTGCTTCTTCAGGTCAAAGAGATATGTCCCCTTCACATGCGTTAGAAAAAAAGTAATAGAAAAACTACACATGGACCAAGATAACTCTCAGATATACCTAAGAGACCCCACAGATGCCCTGGTTCGGGCCCCAGATGAAGCCACAATTGAATTTCCTGCTGAGTACGTGTGTGCCCAGGGGAAATACACATTGTCAGCGTTATGGAGGAATCTGTTTTGAACTCGAAATTATTTCCATTCTTTCAGTGTTTTCCAGAAAATCACTCTTTTTCTTTCTCACTGTATTTTTTGTTACTTAGGTACATTCAGATGAATGCAGTGTTTAGGCATTCATATTTTTGGAGGGAGGATATCACAAACAGTGCTTTTTATAAAGTCTGTTTCATTCCCAGTTTCTACCCATTAAGACGTGCCAGAGAAGCAAAATTACATTTTTTAGGCTTCTAGGATAAAACCTGGTATATTCTAGTTATGACTTACAGCATATTCTACAGTTCAGTAATGAAAGTAATCTAGTGTCCTGAAAGAGTGAAAAAATACCTGATTTCCTACCAAGAATGGAATTGCACACTATTGAAAATTGGGCTCATTTGTCATCCCTTATATACTCTTCCCTAGGCTAACATTTTTATAGAAAAATTAAATATTTTTTTCTCACTTAATATTTTAGTTTTCTCAGAGCTGGCAAGTGTAATGGAGATATACTAGATGTTGCTATTCTTGTGTAAACTTTAAATGGAAAGGTGTTGTATATTTTATTTCAGTACCCAGGGCCCAATTTAAGGGGTCCACTGACAGGGTGAATGAAAGAGGCAGCTAAGGGCCATCATTTACTGGAGCAGAGACACCAGCCATAGGTCCTTGGTGAAATGCTGTACCCACCAGGGCTCAGCCCAGGAGACTGAACTATGGGGAGCAACCCAACACTGATGACTCCACAGTTGGTTTTCTGCCAACTAAGCATTCAAAAATGTGTTCGTCACTAAGGCAGCACAATGTTGCTGCTCCTAACCTTATTTATAATAATAAATAATTATAAGCAGCCCAGTACTCAGGAAATGGTTAACTGAATTATAGGATATCTACGTGATAGAATAGTATGAATTCTAGAGTATCCGCAACCATGTGGCTATTGCAATCCTTAAACATATGGAAAACACTAAAAGAAAATGCCTGGAAATGGTAATAACTTTCTATTAGGGTAATGAGATTATCAGTCATTTTTTTTGTGAATGTACTCTAAAGTTATTTAATCGGTAAATATATGTGCTCATTAGGAAGTTGTTGCTATTTATGAAATTAAGGAAATTAAACAGATTATAATGACCTCATTCTGTTATTATTATCACAATTTGCGATGAAGTCTCATAGAGTCCCTGCAGGAATGTTTAGTGCTGACTTGTCCTAATCCCTGGAACCTATGGATTTTACCTTATATAGAAAAAGCATCTTTGCACGTGTAATTAAGGATCTTGAGATAGGAAGATTATCCTGAATGGGCCCTAAATGTAATCACAAGAGTCCTCATAAGAGGACGTGAGATGGAGGTTACATACAGAAGAGGAGGATGCAATGTAACTATGAAAGGCAGAGATTGGAGTGAGGGGGCTACAAGCCATGGAAGGCCAGCAGCCATTGGAAGCTGGCAGGCAAGAAGTAGATTCTCCTGCTGGAGGCAGCACAGCCCTGCCAACACCTAGGCTTTGTTCCAGTAATACTGATTTTGGACTTCTAAACTCCAGAACTAGGAGAAATTTCTGTTTTTTTTAAGCCATCAAGTTTATAGTAATTTGTTTTAGCAGCCATAGGAAACTAGTACCACAGGCAGGGAGAGATCAGGAGAGTTTGCTGGTATTGGCAACGAAGTAAAATGAAGAACACTAGAAAGCACGCTCAGAGAATACAGACAGAGGCGACACTCAGTGTCTGCTGTGAGGGGATCTTTCTGTACAGATTCAAGGCCCTGTCCTGAAGACATAATGCGGTTCATCTGACAGAGGTAATACTTGGAAGCAGCATCAGCAAATATACAATGTCCTGAAAGCAATGGGAATTCCAATCTGAGGCTTTAGTAGACCTATATTTAGAAAGAAGCTGTAGGCAGTCCGGCATTAGCCTAATCTACCAATAATGTAATAATTAAGAAATCTAATGAAATAAAAAGTATTCCTTACCTGGGCATGGTGGCTCACACATTGCTGGTGTAATCTCAGCACACTGGGAGGCCAATGCGAGAAGACTGCGTGAGCCCAGGAGTTTGAGACAAGCCACTGCAACACGGTGAGACCCTGTCCCTATAGAAAACAAAAAATTAGCCAGGTGTGATGGCCTGAGCCTGTAGTCCCTGCTTCTTGTGAGGCTGAGGTGAGAGGATTACTTGAACCCAGAAGTTTGAGGCTGCAGTGAGCCACTGCACTCCAGCCTGGGCAGCAGAGCAAGACCCTGTCTCAAACAAAACAAAACAACAAAACAAAGATAAAACTCTGATTCTATTCCTCTATTCACAACATTTCTTACATGAAATGTGTGGGTTCTTCCCACACCAATAACCAATTCTCCCACTCTTGGGATACCAACTGGGTACCCTACGATTCCTACCTGGAGTTAGCATCAGACCCCACAGGGAAAGGGCTCTGTCCCTCAAGACTGCCCCACTTCAGACACCATACTTCTGAACAACTTGGCTGCAAATTGGAGATGCCCATAATCACCTGTCAGCTTTGATAATTTGCAATAACAGCACAGAACTCAGGGAAACACTTTACTATTACTGGTTTATTATAAAGGATATTACAATAGATAGAAATGAACAACCAGATGGGCCAGGCTCAATGTCTTACACCTGTAATCCCAGAACTTTGGGAGGCCAAGGTGGGTAGACCACTTGAGGTTAGAAGCTTGAGACCAGCCTGGCCAACACAGTGAAACCCTGTCTCTAGTAAAAATACAAAAATTAGCCGGGTGTGGTGGCATGTGCCTGTAATCCCAGCTATGTGGGAAGCTGAGGCAGGAGAATCATTTGAACCCAGGAGACAGAGGGTGCAGTGAGCCAACATTGCGCCACTGCACTCTAGCTTGTGTGAGAGAGCAAGAGTCCATCTCAAAAAAAGAAAAAGGAAAAAAAAGAAAAGAAATAAACAGCCAGATGAAGAGGTACATAGGGCAAGGTCCCAAAGAGTCCTGAGCACAGGAGCTTCTGTCCCCTGGAGTTTGGGATGCACCACCCTCCTACCATGTGGATGCATTCACTGACTTGGAATCTCTCAAAACCCTGTCATTTAGGGTTTTTATGGAGACTCTATTTTATAGGCATGATTTATTAAATCATTAGTCATTGGTGATTGACTTAATCTCCAGCTCTTCTTGCCTCCCTCGAAGTTGGGAAGTGGAACTGAAATTTCCAGCCCTGTAATCACATGGCTGGCTCCTCGGGCAAGCAGCCCATCCTTCACCTCATAGGGCATGCCCAAGATGGCCAAATAAGAACAGCTCCAGCCTCCAGCTCCCAGCGTGAGTGACACAGAAGACGGGTGATTTCTGCATTTTCAACTGAGGTACTGGGTTCATCTCACTGGGGAGTGCTGGACAATTGGTGCTGGTCAGCTGGTACAGCTCAACTAGCGAGAGCTGAAGCAGGGCAAGGCGTCACCTCACCTGGGAAGCACAAGGGGGAAGGGAATCCCTTTTCCTAGCCAAGGGAAATTGAGACACACAACACCTGGAAAATCGGGTAACTCCCACCCTAATACTGTGCTTTACCAAGAGTCTTAGCAAACGGCACATCAGGATATTATATCCCACACCTGGCCCAGAGGGTCCCACGCCCACAGAGCCTCCCTCATTGCTAGCACAGCAGTCTGAGATCTGACTGCAAGGCGGCAGTGAGGCTGGGGGAGGGGCGCCCGCCATTGCTGAGGCTTAAGTGGGTAAACAAAGCCACTGGGAAGCTCGAATTGGGTGGAGCCCACCGCAGTTCAAGGAGGCCAGCCTGCCTCTGTAGATTCCTCCTCTGGGGACACGGCATAGCTAAACAAAAAGCAGCAGAAACCTTGGCAGAGGTAAATGCCCCTGTCTGATAGCTTTGAAGAGAGCAGTAGATCTCCCAGCACAGAGGCTGGGATCTGAGAACGGACAGACTGCCTGCTCAAGTGGGTCCCTGACCCCTGAGTAGCCTAATTGGGAGACATCCCCCACTAGGTACAGACCGACACCTCACACCTCACACAGCGGGGTACACCCCTGAGACAAAGCTTCCAGAGCAAGAATCAGACAGCAACACTTATTTGTGTAGCAATATTCTATCTTCTGCAGCCTCCTCTGCTGACACCCAGGCAAACAGGGTCTGGAGTGGACCTCAAGCAAACTGCAACAGATGTACAGCTGAGAGTCCTGACTGTTAAAAGGAAAACTAACACACAGAAAGGACACCCACACCAAAACCCCATCAGTATGTCACCATCATCAAAGACCAAAGGCAGATAAAACCACAAAGATGGGGAAAAAGCTGTGCAGAAAAGCTGGAAATTCAAAAAATCAGAGCACATCTCCCCCTCCAAAGGAATGCAGCTCATCGCCAGCAAGGGAACAAAGCTGGACGGAGAATGACTTTGATGAGTTGAGAGAAGAAGGCTTCAGTCGATCAAACTTCTCAGAGCTAAAGGAGGAATTACGTAACCAGCACAAAGAAACTAAAAACCTTGAAAAAAGATTGGATGAATGGATAACTAGAATAATCATTGCAGAGATGACATTAAAAGAACTGATAGAGATGAAAACCATAACACGAGAAATACGTGACAAATGCACAAGCTTCAGTAACCGACTCGATCAACTGGAAGAAAGAGTATCAGCGATTGAAGATCAAATGAATGAAATGAAGCATGAAGAGAAGTGTGGAGAAAAAAGAGTAAAAAGAAATGAACGAAGCCTCCAAGATGTATGGCACTATGTGAAAAGACCAAATCTACATCTGATTGGCGTACCTGAAAGAGATGGGGAGAATGGAACCAACTTGGAAAACATTCTTCAGGATATTACTGGAGAACTTCCCCACCCTAGCAAGGCAGGCCAACATTCAAATTCAGGAAATACCAAGAATGCCACAAAGATAGTCCTAGAGAAGAGCAACTCCAAGACACATAATTGTCAGATTCACCAAAGATGAAATGAAGGAAAAAATGTTAAGGGCAGCCAGAGAGAAAGGTCGGGTTATCCACAAAGGGAAGCCCATCAAACTAACAGCGGATCTCCCAGCAGAAACTCTACCAGCCAGAAGAGAATAGGGGCCAATATTCAACATTCTTAAAGAAAAGAATTTTAAACCCAGAATTTCATATCCAGCCAAACTAAGCTTCAGAAGTGAAGGAGAAATAAAATCCTTTACAGACAAGCAAATGCTGAGAAATTTTGTCACCACCAGGCCTGCCCTACAAGAGATCCTGAAGGAAGCACTAAACATGGAAAGGAACAACCGGTACCAGCCATTGCAAAAACATGTCAAAATGTAAAGTCCATCGATGCTAGGAAGAAACTGTATCAACTAGCGAGCAAAGTAACCAGCTAATATCATAATGACAGGATCAAGTTCACATATAACAATATTAACCTTAAAAATAAATGGACTAAATGGTTCAATTAAAAGACACAGACTGGCAAATTGGATAAAGAGTCAAGACCCATCAGTTTGCTGTATTCAGAAGACCCATCTCATATGCAGAGACACACATAGGCTCAAAACAAAGGGATGGAGGAAGATCTACCAAGCAAATGGAAAACAAAAAAAAGCAGGGGTTGCAATCCTAGTCTCTGATAAAACAGACTTTAGACCATCAAAGATCAAAAGAGACAAAGAAGGCCACTACATAATGGTAAAGGTATCAATTCATCAGGAAGAGCTAACTATCCTAAATATATATGTACCCAATACAGGAGCACCCAGATTCATAAAGCAAGTCCTTAGAGACTTATAAAGAGACTTAGACTCCCATACAATAATAATAGGAAACTTTAACACCCCTCTGTCAACGTTAGACAGATCAACAAGACAGAAAGTTAATAAGGATATCCAGGATTTGAACTCAACTCTGCACCAGGCAGACCTAATAGACATCTACAGAACTCTCCACCCCAAATCAACAGAATATACATTCTTCTCAGCACCACATCGCACTATTTCCAAAATTGACCACATAGTTGGAAGTAAAGCACTCCTCAGCAAATGTACAAGAACAGAAATTATAACAAACTGTCTCTCAGACCACAGTGCAATTAGACTAGAACTCAGGATTAAGAAACTCAACCAAAACCGCTCAAGTACATGGAAACTGA